CCCCACCCCCTCCGTGTTACAGCTCCCCCCTCCTTCCCTTATCTTCTGTGTAGGAGAGATTTATATATATGTCAAAACCAATATATATATATTAGTATATATGTTACAACCCTAAAAGCTTGCTCTGCAGCACCACCGGCCACCCAACCCACATGCTATGTACTGCAGTGAGGAAACAGGGGTTCTTAATGTGACAGAGAGCACCAGCAAGCAGTACTCACAAGGGTCAAACTCAAGGGCAGAGTGAGAATGCTACTTCCGACCCAAGGCATGACATACAACAGAACTTCCTTTAAACGCACGTAAACACGCAACTCCTGCTCAAAGAAAAGCTGTTCTGTATGTAAGTTGCCCAGCTTGTTTGATCTCAGCATCGTTCTACGCAGGGCTTCATCTTGTGCTGATGTTCAGGCTCTCTCCGTGCCTTTCTGCCCAAAGTCTGGTCTCCAGGATCCAGACTGGTCTTCATTTGTCTAATCATCCTTTGAGGAAGGAAGCTGATCTATCAACCAAAGCCACACTAATTATCTGAATCATGCCTGTCGCTACTTAAAAGGGCACGATTGGCTTTTCTCTAGTGACTACAGAGGATTGTATAATACAAAACCCTACTTATACAGGGCCAAGCCTGGCTGCATTTAAATGTTATTTTGCAAGCAATCAGTGTTTCAGAAAGAAATTAAATGACTAATCCCATCCCAATTTTTTTAAAACTTATTTTCTGATACCATAACTGGATTTTTGGCTTGCATAATCATTTTTCAACTCAGCACATTTAACAATGATTAAATTCCTTTAAGAACAGATGCTCAGGAAACAACTAGAACTTCTAACCCACACGATTACAAGTAATCGCCATTGTACAGGCAGCAAGCCATTAGATGGGGACCACATTATGCAAGTACTAGGATAATGACAACTGTGCAAAACAAAGCAAAGGCAGCAGAAGTCTGTGTATCCCTTTATTTGTCTCGCAGACCCTTAAACTGAAAACTTTTCCTTTCACTCTCAGTATGTTAATCTCCAATGACAGCAAAATTACATGCCTTCTCCGTTCTGTCCAGTTTGCAAGATGTCAACAAGAATCACTAATGGCCACTTTTAAAAACTTAGGGAACTTAGCAAGTTATTTTCAGAGCTTATCAGGAATCACAAATGCCCCTGAAACAGATGGCCCTCTTGTATGATTTATACTGAATAGTGACAGCTGAAAATACTACCATGGAAGTGGTAAAACTTGTGTTTGAGAACCCTGCAATCAGAGAAAGTTAGAGTCTTGAAAATATTGCTTTATACATCTTCACCCTTCCCTCAAAAGGCTGCAAGAGGCCCAGACACAACAGAAATCGCACAAGAAATTAATGCATTTAAAAGGCAAAGGTACTATTTCACAAAAGCTCCAAGCTCTGCTGCCGGAGACGTTTACCTGACGGCCCTTCATGGTATGAAACACAATGCATAGATGCGTTCCTCCAGTGATCAGAAACTATGACCAGCTATAACGGAGATAAGATTAAGCAAGTTCCACTACCAGGAGAGAAGAAATATTGCAAGCAGTGTATGTTCTCAGGGCACAGGCTGGAAATAGGATAGCTATAAGTAACAATCTGAAAATCAGGACATCTGAAAAAACCCGTCATAAACCAGGAATATAAAGTTAGTAGAACACCACTAACCTGAAACATTCCCCTTGCACCTAAGTTCACTTGGCTTTACCTTTAGCTCCTTATCATAACCCCGCTTATTTGTACATGATTGTCAAACACACCACCACAATTTCTTCAGTCCTTTAGAGATGCATATCTACATTTTTAATCACTGAATTCTACCAACCTGTTAGGGCAGGGGGGCTCCAGAAATCCCATTTTGACTTAAATTTTGCATTTTTAATTGTGTTGAGTGTAAGCCAGAGTACACTCTACAAATTGTAGGTGAAGGTTTTCACAGCCTATCATATCTTAGTACTCTTAATCCCACCCACCTCCCTCCAAATCCTTCTGATAAGAGTAGGTGCAAAATACATAGTATAGATTTAAAGACTCTTGTTTGTTCCCTATCCCTCTTCTCCCATGCTGTTCACTCCCTGCAATCCAACACAAATTCTGCTTGGACATAAAGCCTGTTTTTGACCCAGTCTGCCTCTTCTCTTCTTGTTGCCCAGAGAAGTTGTGGATGCCCCATCCCTGGAGGTGTTCAAGGCCAGGTTGGATGAGGCTTTGGGCAACCTGGTGTAGTGGAGGATTTCCCTGCCCATAGCAGGGGGGTTGGAACTAGATGATCTTTGAAGTCCCTTCCAACCCTAACCATTCTATGATTCTTAATCTGTCTCTCACGGGGACCTGTTCAGAGCAAGTGTATACTGGTTTGTCAAGGTCAGCTTCACAGAAGAAACTACACAGAAAAGAGGGTCAGATTCAGGGAAGAAGAGTTTGAAAGAGGAAGATAACTTTGTGGATCTATAAAGAACACACAACATCACAAGAAACTTCCAAGATTTCTGCACCAAGGCACGTCTACCCTTTCTCCTAAGAAGCACTGTGGCGTTCTGAGAAGACGAGTGTACTTTCTAAAAGGTAACAGAAAAAGCATCCCCAGATACGTTCTCTTTAATGATACGGGAGAGAGGCATATCTCAGACATATGACAGTGAAGCATTCAAATCAACATGATACGTCCTGCAGGAAATAACTTCTTTATTTTAGGCTTCATCTGATTTTTAGGGTTTTCCCCTTCTAAGTTAAATCAGAGTGAGCAAAATTCTGATACTCATTCAACAGTAGATTTGTAATTGGTCAGCCTTCTATTTAACAGATGTACTTGAAGTATTAATTTTATATTTGATTTACAGTCAGGTTGATTCTGAAAAGAGTTCAGTGACAAAGCAGCACACAAAACAGTGAGCACGTATGCATGTGTTTCATGAACAATAATGAAGTCACAACTGCACAAATAGATTCTTTGAAATAATTAATGTTCTCATTTACAGATTTGGCACATTTGCAATTAGTTTGCAAAGTGTGGGATTAGAAAAGATTTGTCAAAACACTCCCTTTACTGCAAGTGAATAGATACGATATTTAAGCACCTCTGTTTTCTAGAAGAGCCAAACGGGGATTTAAGACAGATTTTTTTTTTTTATACCCTGCTACTGCAAATTGGAAGTGACTAATAGGGCATCACAGTAAAGCATTTTTCTGGTTTACTGACCTCAGGCCATATGCTTAATATAACCCAAATCTCTTCTGAAGTAAAAGTCCCTCCCAAAAATCAAACACACTAATTAATTGAAAAAGAGCTTTCTATACAAGTATAAAATTCCTGGGAAGGAAGTTACCAGCCTCTATTGTAAAAGCAAATATTAATAGGGACAAAAAAAGGGGATCATCTGATGCACACTAAATGAATCTCTGGGCTCAGATTCTAATCCTGAAAATGCAAAATTCTATTTGAGGGAGAAGTTATTTAGTCAATCTGTAATATCAACTGATCTGTTGAATTGGGTTCATCTTCCTATCACCAGTACTTGATTGAGTTTAAAAGTTTCACTTTGTTTTTTTTTTAAAAGATCACACACTATGGGGAAAAAAAAAATTAATGACATACACACCTGGTTTCCCCCGGCATTATGACATTCATAAACTCCGACAACACCATCTGCAAAATGGCCCAAAGTGTCAAGGCAATTGGTACCCTGCTGCAAAGCCCCAAAAGCTATATCTTGATGATCAGGTACCCTAAAATAAAACCAGAAATATCTGCTTAATTCCGTTTCTTTAATATTCTTTAACTTCTTGTCTTTACTCAGAGTATTTTTAAGATGACAGGTTAAAGATGAGTGATGACTACTATCTCAAAATCTCAGTCATCTTCTGAGGAGGAAAGGCAATTATCTGATCATGAACTGATCAAACATGAGTAAACTTGCAAGCTTAGGACAGAATACAAAGAGACTTGTACTAGAGAATGAGGATGAACATGCAAACTCAGCACAGAAAGCAAATTAAAGATGACTTATCATCATTTAAGGTCACTCAAGCTTAATGCAATTAGTTAAGGTCATCAAGCCCTCTTGTTTTTTCTGCCAACCTAGCTTATGGTAGAAATATTCTGCATTTTTCCCAGACTGTTTTTACTGAAGAATTAGAAAAAGGGTTAGAAATTTAAAAAAGAAATTAAAAAAATCAATGTTTTGCCAACATCTGTTTTCTACTGGTTGTACATAAAGTGCACTCATATATTAGGAAACATCTAGGCAAATCCATTCAACAAAAGTACAGTTGTGGGGTAGAGTCCATGAGTTCATGTCAAATAGTAAAGCAAGGGCATATTAGCTCCTTCTAAAACTTCACACTATAACACAAGTATAATAATGGCAGCAGAATGAGCATGAGAGATGACACAGAGTAACATGATACTATACTTAAGTAATGCTTATGGTAGCACATTTTCCAGGAGAGCTTGTAAGCCATAATTTTTCTGACAAACTAAACAAAAATAAATATCCACTGGCACTTTTAAGAGAAAATAAAGAATAACTTACTTCCTCAGCATCATCCTGGTTTATGAGACTCTTTAGTATGTGCGGTTCTATACATGTTTCTCTAGGGCTGTAACGGCTGGTGCTTTTGCATTCCAAGCCTGTATGCCACTAGCAGTTATCCGACTCTATTGACATGAAGTGCCCCCAGGAACAAAACAAGTATTCCCATAAGCCACACACCGTATCTTACCACTGCACTATCAATATTAAGTTGACAGCAGATAAACTAGTTTATAGACTCAGATCTGACAGACGCACTTATTAACGGTTTATTGAACAAAAACCTTTTTATCCTTTCAAAAAGTGTTTCTCTTCCAGGATTTTTCATTAGTTAGGATGCATTGATGTTCCAAAAACTGTTAGCAATGTTACCCTTCATTTCCCTCCTCTCACCCCCCCCAAAAAAGTTAGTGATTATCCAGTGACAGAGAACAAGAGATAGAAAGAGCAGAAGATTCAGCTTCTTAAGAGTCTTAGGCATCTATCCTTGTTTGCCAAACATACAAGGCTCTCTCATCTGCTTACTTCTACTCTACTGAGATTCAGTCTCTTCACTCAACTAGGCACATGCTTAGGTGAAAGCAAAAGCTTTAAGAGGACGACAACAGGATACAGAAACAGTGCACTTTTGAGCAAATGGCTAATATAGGAGACTAACTTCAGGCTCAGAGAAGTTCAGTCCTTTCAACACTGTTCTCTAAAATATCTGCTACTGCAGCTGTAGTTGCAGTAAGCAGAAAAAGAAAAAGCAGCTTACTAAGGAAAAATGGCTCTTTAGAAGTAGAACTAATAAAAACCAAAAGCAAATAAGCCCACATGAGGCAATGCTTTCCACAAATAAATTAAAAAAACATCCTTTACACCCAAGGAAGGAGAAAGAAACTGATGATTTCTGCAGAGGACTGAAAAAAAAAAAAAAAGAACTCCATAGTACCTTTGATTCAGCCAAAACTCACCGTAACTCAGGATAAACATTTTCAAGATACCACTTGAAGGGTTTGCAGCTAAGTCTCTTTCTGAGTTCCATTCGGCTTTGAATACTAGAGAGAAAAAAAAGGAGCAGTTTTCAAAGGCTGCTGTCTTCATATACATTAAGGAATACACAGAAAACTCAAGAACAGTAGAACTGTAGAACTATATCTTAGAGAGATAACACCTGAGAGCCAGCACCACTTTTACCTCAGAAAGTGCTGTCTCAAGAAGAAAAAACAAATAGGGCAAAAAAGCACATGTGACTTACTTGCCATAAGGTACATTCCTGGCTGAAGGCACTGCTGCGTAATAGAAATTCTTATACTCATCCATCCAGACTTCTGCTGCCCTGCGTGTATTTCTAGGGACAATCACATGAAACACATAGCTGCAATTAAACCATGTCATTCATCCTTGAGTTGATTTTAATCCTTGCTAGTACTACACAGTCAGCTGCCTCAAGACAGGCAGAAGATTCCCTGTTAAAGACCCAAGTAATAGAAAACCATTAGAGAGAAACATAACTGAAATCACTGCATTTAGAATTAAATTTATGTCTTTTCCACACTCATCACTGCTTCATGTTTTCATCCAGAATTTAATACACATCTTGGAGTTTTTTTCTGCAAAGGTCATGGAAGTTGTTTGTTGGGTTTTCTTTTCTTTTTTTTAAGAGTAACTTGACAGAAGCCAAATTCAGTGAGTGATCACCTGGATAAGCAAGCTAATTGGAAACATAAAAATCTCAACAGTTGGCAGTATTTAATAATGTCTTTTACCATTCTGAACACAGATATGCTAACATAGGCAAAAGATATTTTCAGTCTTCATCCTATTCCTATCAACAGGGCACTCAAAGTTCCAAAAAGACATAAGCTGTCCTGACATTTAAAGCTATGAACCAAGCAAGATTGCTGTAGCTGAGGTAACAGGGGAGAACCAGTAATTAGAACAAAACTTAATGCTTTAAAACTCAAGAGAGATTAATTATTGCAATAAATGTGAAAAACACTAACCCAAATTCTCTACTTCTAATCAAACACATCTCTAACTAACATTTCTGTATTTATGTAAGTAGTGTCTTTAAATCTCCTTTTGGACTGCAAGGAGGGTAATGTCTTTTTCCATCCCCTGGCTTCCATGTAAAACTCATTTACTTCTATTGTTTGTAATTTTATCCTTAGAAAATTAAGTCTTATTTCACTTGCAACTGCCATGCTCTAAAGCTTATTTTACATTTGGCAGGAAGTTCATCTAAAGCAAATGGAGTAAACTCAGTCAGCCAATAACTTCTTCAATATGATTTTCCAATCCAGAAGACAAAAAGTAGCCAGGATAAAGTGAGTTCTTCTTGCAGGTCGCTGAGAAAGAAGGATGTGAGGAAGAATAAAAAGCCACAAGACAGACGTCCATCATTTTTTGTTTGAGGACCGATTTTTCCTTGCAAAGATTCCTTTAAATTTTTTGTAAGCAAAATCCCATTCATCCCACATTAGAGAGCTATTTCAGTTTATCTTCACGTGCAATCTCTCAGGCCTGGGTGAGTGTCAGCCAGCCACTCAGCACGGGCCCCTGTTGCATGCTCAGCCATTAGCTTGGCTGTCTACAGGCCAAATGGATTTTGGTGGTGGGAGAGGAACTGTTGGGTTTGCCAGGGCTTAATGACTCCAAAGGCAATTTCAAGGCCAGAACACACGCCTGCATCATGCTTCCCCATACTCAAGGATGAACAGTTCAAGCTTAGTGCGACACGAATACGGAAACTGTAGATTCTGAGAACTGTCTAAACTAGTAAGAGCGCAAAGAAGGCAGGGTACTGTGGAACACAGTGTAGGGTGCACTCAGGGCTTACGTTGAGCCACAGCTACTGAAGCCTAGCACTGAGTGATCAGAGGTAGCTTTGCATGGAGCAGACTGGAGTCCACAGAGTTTATTTAGCTCATCTGAAGAGGTGTATTAAGGCAGCGCATACTGGTCCAACAAATCTTTCCAGACACAAGCTGTATCTGCCCACACTACACAGCCAAGATGTGGTTGCCCCTCTCATGAAACAGGATGCCCAGTCTCTCATCCAGAATCACTAATTTGTTTTGGCTACCAAATGGCAGTGCATACTGATTAGCCAGCTACAAGTAGGACACTCACTCAGAGTGCTCAAGAACAAATTGCATACAGTCAAGGGACAGAGGATGGTATAAGCTAACAAGTCCCGACTGCAAGACCAGCACAGATTCCATGCATCAAGTTTCTTGGCACCATGGTCCTACCCATATCTGATAATACCTGTATTACAAGGATATCACATTACCTTAGGTTTCACATTCTTTCATTGCTAAATTGATTTTAAGGCATTGTTATACGGGTTTGACACCCAAGAAAGCTAACTGAGGAGGAAGCCTTCAAATATACAGCAACTTGTCAACCCTGCTTTTAAGTGACACGCAACTTTTCCAGGTCAATTAAAAAATAATTCAAATGAAAGAAAGAATTTTAAGGACATTCCAGAATTTGAGACAGCTGGACAGCTAGAGACAAAGGTAATAAACTACTGCAGAGAAAGGTAGATCTCTGGAGAGAGGGATGCAAGTACCCAAAATGCTAGTTTGCAGGCTTCAGCTGTCCTCACCGTTCATGTACACGTGAGATCTTTTCATTCTGAACACAAATGACTGGAAAACACAATGCAACTTTAAAAAAAAAAAGAGTCATAGTAATTGTCGGGCCACCTGAGTGATCAAATCCCAATGATGACTTGACTTCACAACAGAATCCCAAAGCTTTCATACCAGAATGAACGCAGAATCTTCAACCCTAACATGATGCCTTTCTGATGTTTGCTGTAACCTTGCATGCGTACAGCCACACTTTTCCTACTTTTCAGTTGAGCTATGTGCAAGTACCTTCTTAACATCCCAAGAAGCAGCATCTTGGCAACAGCCCAAAGATACAAAAGCTGCAGAGGAGTGGGAAAACTGCACAATTTTTATATGTGTATTTATTTTTATTAACCACACTCTTTGTTACGACATTGCCATTTTAAAAGCTACCATGAAACTACAACAGTTGCATCCTAAGTCTATGTAATACAGTTTAATTGGCAGAGCCTTCTACCCTCCTGATGCACGCTATAAACACTGGAATAGAGATGTGATGTATTGAGAGGATATTTCATTGCTAGCTTTTGTTTTCCCATAAGTACTATTATTCATTTTCCACTGTAGAATAAGATACAGAACTCAAATAATAGGGGACCAGACAAATCTCTACTGTAACTACTGGAAGAAACAGGACAGTGACTACTAAATTCATTAGTCTCATCTTGGTGGCATAAGCAGCATGGAAGAGAAGAACAACTACATCCCTAAGAAGGTTCCTCAATCTAAGGTGAAACACAAGTCCCAATATATCAGCAGCTTAGAACATTCTTATGAATTTAAGTACATCTGTGCTCTCTGTGTTGCTTCATGTTAAACAGAGTTTGGGATTCATATGCCTTCAAGGATAAATAAACAATTTTATTCGCAGCTCTTAATCCACAGAACCTTTAGCTGAGACTTGTACTTCTTCAGCCCTTTGAGCGACAAGTCCAATTCTCTAAAACAAACCTTACAGTGATTATTCAGCTACAATTGATGAAGCCTTGGTCAAAAAATCTACCATACACTACTGCAATACCTTTGTCCCTGTTACTTAAAAACACTATCAACATGAATCAGAATGGCTATTCTCATTCTATGAGGAGAAACTGAGGAAATAGCTCAATATTTCAGCTACCACCGTATATTGAATCAACAGCAAAATTAAGAGGCATATTAATCTAAGCCCTTAATACTGCAGTTTCTTAGATCTATAGAAAAAAAAAAAAATTTTAAACATAGCACAGGAAAGGCAAATATGATATAGAAGGAAGTTGTCAACAGACTGGAACAAATGCCAGAATCAGTCTATGTAATTATTTGTAAATCACATACTAATCATGTATTAACAAAAAGCAAGCAAAGCATATTCATAACTTAAGTGTATTCTGGCTTTTAGTGAATGATGAAACTATAAAAATGAAGATTTAGGAAATAGTTCTGAGAATAAAGTTTTCTTTAAAACCAGATAAACACAAAGTTCTCAAAATTGACAGAATGCCAAACTAAGCATTTCCTTCTTTTCCAGATTCTCAGGCTGCATCTACTAGAAGTTTCCCTTTTTCAACTCTCAGGGTCTTCTCTCAATCTGTGTAGTTGCCTCAAAGTTATTAGCTACCTTTTAATTAATATTTTCCCATGCTAGATAATATGGCAAGTATTTCTAAAGAAAAGATCCTTAAAATGAAATTACTGCCACCTGCTGATCATCTGAAGAAATCCAAACATTGCTCTTTAGCTGAAGACTTGACTTAACGGTTACCTTGCAAATACGGTACCACTCCCACCGGGAAACGTGTAAGGATGCTGTTTGCGGAATACGTGACCCACTCTGCTGCAAGGGATGATTTCTAGGCTCCCACCACATTGCCAAACTCTGAATGAGATCTCTGAAATAAAAACATGAATGAAAGCTCAACATCATAAAATCCTGTAATTTTGTAGTATAGTATTTACAGAGAAGGCTTTTATTGACTATTGCTGAGAAGATCAATAAGATAAGTTTCTGAGAAATTCCAAGATAAACAAAGGTATATCTAAGCATTTATTATTCTCCAAAATCATGAGAAATAATTGTATTAACATGGAAGCAAAACTGTATGTCTTTTCTTATCTGAGGTTACCAGCTTTCCCCAAATTCATGTCATGCTGCAATTTGCCAAAGTCAGGTCTATATGTACCATTACTACGTGTTACCTAAAGGGTAAGCAACAGTTGATATATTTAAAAGATAAATTAATGATCTAGCTTATAATATTTTTTTTTTTTCAGCTAAAGGTGGAATGACACAGTGGACAAAATCAAGGCATGAAAAAAAAAAAAGATCAATGGATTTGAGCCACTGACGTACTATAGCAGATAACCAAGCACTCCTAAACACTGGCCATGGAAGGAGTTACATCAAGTCAATCTTGATTTGAAGATGGACTGAACAGAGATGCAACTTCTGTAAACTGAAGCTTATGGACAGTACACTTCTAAGTCAGTCTACTGAGCTGACCCAGCTAACAAGGACAAGAATGTCTAGAAATATTTATACACCTTCCTCAATTTAGACCGTTGACAGCAGAAGTCACCTAGTGCTGACAGAGAACTTCTCCCCATTCATTCCAAATCAGCACAATAAGAGGGGTGCTTCCAATAGCACCCTTTCAATTTTGACGATTCCCCCCTTAGTCCAGCAGTTGCTACCAGTTACTGAGTGCTACCCTTAGTTTCAAGTCTCTTCATGATCATTCAGTATCTTTCCATAGATTTAAAAAAAACCCACCAAACTAAGCAGCTCTAAATTAAAGTCAGCATCTATCTTTTAAGACTTATACTAAATGCCATTCCTTCCCTCAGAAGCCTTCCTCCCACAAAGTCAGTCATAAAAATAGCATTACTTTTAAAATTAGGTTAGAGAGCATGTCTTCTCAATGGTCTGTCCAGAGAAAGAGAAAAGAAAAAAAAATTAAAGAGGTGCTATGATTTCAGCTGTTGGCAGTGCAAGTTAACTGCCTTTCTTCTGAATGGTCATTGCTTTTACAAGGGTCACCACTTATTTGTTTTATTTCAGTGATAAATTCTGATGCATTGGGGCCAATTAGGCATATTCGTGGATCCTAGACAGTCCACATAGTCCAATCTACAGACAGATCATCTTCCAAAAATATTAGTGACTATAGTGTCTTTGCCAGTAACTTATGGTCTTGATTTTCCAGTTGAATTAACATGGGACAATAAGCAAAAGTTATTCTTAAAGCAACTGAACAAGACACTCTTGCTGTACGTTTTTCACAGTCCTGACTTCGGTCTTACATCTCTTATTTTGAGCTTAATGGGAAAAAAAAAAAAAAAAAGAATCACAGTAAGCAATCAGTCACCACTTCTTTTAAATGAGTTATAAACAAAAGCACTTCTGTGTTTCTGCCAGAATAAATTACACATGGAAAGAAAACTTCAGACTTCACCATATCTAGCTCAAATTTGCTCTCATACTGCTCAAATTGTGAAAGCAGAGGAGTAAAAGTTCTCTTGTACCACTTTAAAATATTATTTATGGAGCTTTGCTATAAAGTTCATACAATTTTTAGTCCAACATGAGGGGATGCTGCACTCAGTGAGGACAGCGTAGTGAAAGAAGACAGGGAGATCTGATGAAAGATAAAGGCAGACTAAATGCTTGAAATCTAGTATTAGACTTACGTAAGTATTAGTAAATACACGCCTAAAGCTTGCTCTTTTTTAAATGATTCATTTGAAGGTTTAATTCAAAAAGTCGCTGTCATCTATGAACGTATGTAAGGCACTGAAAAAGCATTTTTGTTTTAGAAGTAATTTAGAAGTATCTTGTGCCAACTTTTTTCATTATTCATACTTTCCACTACTGTGTACATTAATTTCATTAATTCTTCCTCCATAAATTCCCAGAAACATAAACCTGCATTTATGCTTTCCGGCACCTTAGATTCTGAATAATCTCAAAAAAAGTGAAAACAATGAAAAATGGGTCTATGGGAAAGGCAGCCAGAGACTAGTAAACAGGGAGAAGCAAACTAATTCTTACATACAATAAGATGGCTTCTAAAACCTGTATGAATTTTTAAAGAAAAAGAAATGTACTGCAACTAAAACTTAAAAAAAAACCCCAACAACTCCCTTAACACATCTTTTTTGCCATACTCAAACAGTGGGAGAAGACATTTTACTATTGTAACAATTTCAGTGGACGCAGTTTTTCATTAAATAGGCATAAACAGTATGTCAAACATTCTTCAGTTGCATGAGATTATGTTACACCTCTCTGAGATATTTGCTCTTTTTATTGTAGCGTGTCATCGATATAGAAGACAAGGAATGTCTTGCTTACTCCTTGACTTTAGCAAAATTATTAAGAAAAGCCTAGGTTTTTAAATTGGACTCAAACCTTCTAATGGTCCATCCAGTTCCCCAGTGTACTCTGATCCTCCTAGGCTTATCAAAAAGCATTGCAAAGATTCTGAGAATTAGAGATAGGAATTCAAGACAAGACTGAACAAACCTTGGTCCACATTCTGTACAGCAAGCACGTGGTATCAGTCACATTTAGCAACAACCTGAAAACGCACCGTATCTTCATGTTAAGAGCTGTCTCTTGGCTAGCTTAGGCCAAATACTACAAGCGCATCTCGAAATTCGTAAAGTTGACACTATGCTAACCTGTGAATAAAATCTCATATAACAGCTGCCCTCTACATGCTTAAAGGATAAATGCCGAGTTTTGTAAAGCATAAATGTAACGTATAGAATTATTTTGCAAGTCCATCTAGCAGGTTATTTGCATGTAACATCAAGCCCCTGATCCAGAGACATGCTCGAGAGTAAAGAGGCCAGATGAGTGTGTATGTTGAATTTTAAACTGCACATCACAGGTTTCCGGCATCTATCTGGTGCATGTGTCATTTATTGCCAATTAAATCATACATCACGTGATTTTCACTTCTCTTCAGTTAGTCTGGCAGCTATGAACAAATCATTAGCTGTCAGCTGTACTGACTGACTTTGTATTTTCAGGGAGCAGAGAAAAGACACCTCAAAGTCTCCATTTCCTCCTTCCCATGGAGAAGGGGGAACAGAATGCAGCAGGAGCAACACAAACAGTTTTTTGCATGCAGTATTCTCACCTTAAGTAAAGAGCTTTGCTTGTGCCCTTTCCTGCTCTCAAGGCCTCAATTATCAAAGCATAAAAGCAGCTGCTAAATTTTCAGAAAAAAAAAATCACACACTCAAGTACACGCTTGCAGCTAATGAAATATTTAAGCACTTTAGTAGCAAAAGAGGTTTTCACAGTGAATGCGAGTTTTACTGTAGTAAGTTTATCCAATGCTTTCCAAGACATTTAAAAAATGAAAAAATTATTATATTCATATTAATACGTTTGGCAACATACAGCCAAAATAGTGAGAAAACAGAAACACAGAAAGTAATTGTCCAAAAAACAGAAGAGGTTTCTTCGAATATTGCATAGGAAGGTCAGAGACTGGACTGTAAGGATGCCTCTTCCAGCCTTTAATTTTCTCACAGAAGAGTTAAACATTTGGTTACCATGTCTCCATACTTAGCAAGCTGTATACAGCAGACATTTCCTTGTAGGCCAAGCATATGCTTAATGCATATATGCATATTTCAGTAACTCACAATATTCATGGGTTTTTACAAGTTCAAGGTATTTTAGGATTTTGCAACTAGCACGTGTAGTAGAGAAGTTTCTATCCTTAGAACTGGTCCTAAAACACACTACTTAGAATGTCTGAGATGTATCTCTACCCTAAAAAACTACGTTAATGACAGACTGGAAGTCTTGATAAGTTGTGGATTTCTCCTCCTCCCAAATCTTTTTCGTTTTAACACAAGTATACCGGTCTTAACTGGAAAAAAACTTTGTACAATACTGTAATGGAAAGAGCCAAAAAACCTACTAAAGCCAGATCTAATCATCAGATCAAAGAAGAAATGGCTATAGCACAAATTCTCTCAGTCGCTCCTCCGTCTTCCCTAAATCCCACTCACTTAAACACCTGAAAATAGGAATTACAGCAAAAATGTCTTCTCAACCATAATTAACTCATAGGGCTAAAGTAGGGGTATAAAATTAAAAAACTCACTAAGTTTAGATGACAGGCAGTACTATTCTTCAGTCAAAATTTTAATTGATTTCCTAAGGTGTACGTAAGAATATGAAACAAACTCTTGTGTTCTACTTTCCACGACTAAATTTCAGCAACATCTTAAAATACGCCTTACATTGTCAGCATTTAAGCATTATTGTATTTTAATCAATAACTTTAGAACAGGATGTGACTTTCAAACAAGGCAGCATTTTTGAAAGTAATTGCCCATCTATATTTTATCAGCCAACTTCCATTAAAATATTTCACTGCTTAATGAACAAATTCTTTTATTGTCTCATATTCAGCATATAATTCCTATCTTGTTTTAATTCTTTCATTGAAATAAACCTTTTGGATTTTGTCAATAATGCATGTGAAGTTTTAACAATGATTTTAACCCTCTTTGCACAAATCAGGAAGACCATGACTCCGTGACAGTAAAGGCAATGAAATCTGCTTTCTTTCAAGACAGATCCGAAGGTAAATAATATACATACCTAAGTTTTCTCCACCCCAAACATCCATCATCATGTCATACTTCCCTAGTTCTTCAAAGTAGGACTTGTCCATCACAAATAACCCACCAGCTATCATGGGTGTCCTAAAAAGACAATAAAAAAATAAATTAAATATTTATTTTTAAAAATGCAATTTTTTTCAACACTCTCAAATGTAGCTAATTTTGCATCTATCACTTCAAATGTTGCCTGAACACATTTCGATGGCATATACAGCGCTATGACCATCTTCTGAGGCAGCTTCCAAATCTCCATTTGGCTCACAAGTTCCTTATGTAAAGAGTGGCAACTTGTGCCAGCAATGAAATGTTAAATGATGTTGTACTTTTAGCCCTCAAAACACACCAACTTTAAACAAAGAGACATCTACTTTTTGTTAAGGGTAAATAATCTGTCAGTGTGCTTTAAAGTATTTTTTTAATACAATTTATTTCTGAGAGTCTCAATGCTACATAAATATGAAATTTCAATATTAATGAAATCTATAGTAAAGATCCCCTTTCAGACTTAGAGAAGATGATTTCTAACTTTATCTAGTTGCAAACTATAATCTATTAGAGGGAGAAGTGGTGGTACAGACATACTTTATGGGAGCAACTGGATTTCCCTGCCGTGCTCTTCTTTGCTCTGGTGTCATGTAATCCCACTTGAACACCAGGTTCCAATCAAAGCCTTCAACAAGAAAATTAAAGTAGGATGTTAAAAAGACTGTGGTCATCATTCAATTTGTAGTAACGTAACGTTGTCTGAAAACACCAGGAACTGTAATTTAAATTAAAAATTTAAACTTCCACAAACTAAAACAAACAAGAGTTCAGATGAAAGGTAAAGAAGTTGACAGGACAATAAAAGAAGTAATTGCAAATACAAAATAGCTTAGATTTCTCTTGTCCTCTACTACATAAAGTTAGAAACCCAGTCAACAAGTGACAAAGCAAAGGCCTTAATATGAATTCAACATATCATATCCTCTTGTCAAATAGAACATCATATGAAGATCTTCCAGCCATTACAAATGCTCCCAACGGTATTTACTGTATGATTGCATTTCAACTCTTACCAAATGATCACATATTTATGTTTACACAGGCTTTATGCAGTACTCTTAGTGGTACTCTATCAGCAGGAGATCTCTATCATGAAGGTCGCAAGAGGTTATGTAGCTCCCACTTACTTCATTAACTTTCATTTAACTTCCTGCTTTGCCACCGGATGCTTCCAACTGTATCATTTTTTTAAACCTGAGGCAAGCGCTAGAGCACCAAAATCTTACTTCCCTTATGTATGTACATATATGTGTGTACACACAGCAACAGCTGGTCTGGTCCTTTTGTGAGTTAAGCACAGAAGCACATAGAGATCACTAAAATAGACAAGACCAATAGGTCCCCTACAGCAGCCTTCTACCTGATGACCATTTGAACTACCTCCTTTAGGCAACGATACACAGCTGGTGTAAAACAAACTTCCTATAGGAAAAACTTTCACCACAGTTTTTGAGCTGGGTTATGCCCAGCAGCATGAACATCTATTAAAAAACTACTCAAGGTCCATAGCCCTCTCTCAGTACACCTAGTGAATCAGCCTTACACAGACTGCCTGCTGCCAAACACATTTAGATCCTATGAGGTCATGTCATGAATGATTTCCAGATTTCTGGTGCACAGATGTCAATAGTTTTCTTTCTCCGGCATAAAGATAAAGCAATTACTTTGTGGGGAAGTGGGGAAAAAGCTAAGGTAAACAGACAAAAATTACAGTCCTACAAACTGTCTGTCTGCATCCATAAATGTGCATAGTAGTGATCGATGCACAGAGTTGAAAATGAAACAGTTTTCATTTTAACTCATAAGATACTTCACCCACACAATACAGAAATTATCCTGAACAGTCTTTACAGCATGCATGCCCACTCTTTCTCTCCATGTTTGAGTATTTCATGAAGTGTTGCACTGTAAAAATGAAAGACTGTCTAAGTACTCCAAAACTCCAAGCAGAAAAACAGTAAAATGGCTACAATCGATAGCACTGAAAAGCCTCTGGCATGAGAAATAAAATGAGCTCCAATATCTCCATGCAGTTAAAAAGTCGCATTTCATCGTACATACCCAGCAAAATTACTTGCATGTGAGAGAACTTGAAAAAACCAACTGTTCTCTGGCAGAAGCAGTAGAGATAGAGTTACATATACTCCAGTGAACACAAGGGGTCTCTTTTGGAACACAGCACTCTGTTACAAACTCCAAACAAGTGTATAAATTGTCTACCCATAAAAACTGGTTTTCCGTCTCCATTTTCACTGACTCTGGGAAAAATCTGCACTCAATGAGATAATATCAGTAACTCTGTAAAAAGAGTATTTTTGAACACAAGTGCATATCCAATATGAAATTCTATCCAGTGTAAACTGCATCATAGGCACACTCTAAGCTATTAGATCTCAGTTAACTACAGTTTATTCCAGTAATTAAAGTGTTTCTCAGCTCAGTACAAACACTTTTGCAAATCTCTCCTTCTAAAAAAAAAGTCTGTAACATGAAGTGCATGGATTTAATATTGGCCAGACTTGGGAATCATTTCAGCCCTGTCCACTTTTAAAAGTTTGTAGCATTTGCTAGGTTGCTTGTCTTGGGTGATTAAGTCCTTTCAAAACAGAGCAGGCACAAATGCTGTCCCAGTTGTCTCAACTCTCCATGCTTCAGCCACAGAGATACTGTATCTAAGGTTGAAAGCATAGTTTGGTTTCCACGTTTAGACTTGGCCCCAGTGAAAGTGTCCTGTGATGCCAAATGCTGTAGTGCCTCTAACGTGGTAAGCTGTCCTCTGGGAACTGAAAAGAAATATAGTCACGTTTGAACGGACCCCCAAATAGCTTTAAACGCTAGCATGTGCGAAATGTCTATTGTTAACACTGAAAAAAAAAAAGCTTCTTATTCCTCAGTCCAGAAGTACAGAGCACACTTTTAAAAAAAAAGTAAGAAAATATATTTCTACTGTGTACAAAGGGAGAAAATGAGCACTAAAAAGAAAAAAGAAAAAAGAAAAAGAAAAGAAAAGGGAAGCATAGTTCCAAAGACAAAGCATGAAAAGCAGTAACGAATGAAATGATCTCTCAATCTTCTCCCACTTCACTTGGAAAGAATTAAACAGCATGAACCCTGCAGGAACCAATCAAAGGTTTCAATGGAAGAATTCCTCCTCCTACTGCAGACAACAATAAAAGCCACATAATGGTATAGGGATTTCCATACTCAAGACATAATGAATAGATTGGGTAAAAGCCTTGAGGTTTTAATAAAGCTGGCACACACATAATAGCACACGACTATATATTAGCATACTGTGAATATAAGCACTGTAGGTGTTATTTCAGAACATTAATTAAAAGGATATAGAACCTCTCACCTCCAGAGCACTGACGGGAAATTGAAGCATATGTGACATTATGGCAATATTGCTTTTATTTTAGCTTACTGGAACAACACTTGGTGGCCAGTTAGTCAGTAGTAACTGACAGAACGGGCTCAAAATTGTTCTTTCCTTTCTCACCCAAGAAAGTCCATTCAGAAAAAGATGAAACACTGTGGGAACAGCACTGCATAATTTCTGTATTGTGGTTCATCTTATATCTTTGTACAGGCAGTTCAGTTTCCAGTGTTGTGGGAACAATTATGTTAAAAAAATAAGGGGAGGGCAAAGAAGAGCTATTTAAAATGCTAGATTCTGGCTTATTGTGAAAAAACTTCATAACGAGTAAAAAAGTGTGTGGTTGCCCTCTTCCCCTTTGGCAAAGGAAAAGGGAGGATTTATTTTTTTTTTTTTAAAGGCTGCACAAGTCTTTTTACTATTTGCTGTCAATAGTTTACACTGGCTAGACAAAGTGAAACTGTAGTACTTCTCAACTCAATTTAACAGAAAATTTTGTAAGTGAACACTACAAATTTTCAAGGTCACACATCACTCTCTTCACAAATATAGATCATGGCTAACAAAAACATTCTTTTTTTTTCAACATATTCCAAAGCTTTCTGCTTATTCAGAAGAGTTTAGTTTTTTAAGCAAACCAGCATCTTGAAAAAACCTCATAGGCACTGCATTGCTGATGGGCTTCTAAGCTAGAGAGCAATTAAAACTTATCTGAAGAGAGAATCATAAGCTCTATGCATAAGCTGCTTCTGACACTTTTATACAATCTTACAAACATTGGAGTGAGTACTGCACATTAGTAAAAGGCAGCATAAACTTTTAAGAATTAGTATAATAAAGATGAACTGGTTTAAAGCAGAAGACAATAAGGCCAATTAAAATCCAAGCCTAGAAACAACTGACCTATAGAACTTAAACTAGATACATGAAAGGGAAGAAAAGTACATTATTTGCCCATTCCACAACTGCAGTGCTTATGAGCTTTGATTCTTGGTGCCTTTTTTTTTTTTTTAAGTTTATATTCCAGTACAGGTACATACCGCCTTTTAAATCAGCTGACGCCCCCACGTACTGGAAGTTGTCCATATTAATTACATCAATAATAGGAGACACAACTCTGGTCTTGTCCTAAAATAAATATTAGAAAGTAATATTGAAATAATGAAATCAAGATATAAAGGTTCAGGCAGGATGAGATGTTGAACAGTTCAACAGGATTTCAGTAGCACGTCTCCCCCAGCTCTCCCCCTACTTCAACCTTGTGGCTCTGAATAGCCAGTGCTGTGAACAGCACGGCTCATCACTGCTTCAGAAAGCAGAAACCACTCTATAGAGCTGGGAATCCTCTTTCTATTCTAGGCTACTCATATTCAAGTAATCTCCCTCTTCTGACTTGCACTTGAAGAAGGCAGAAAACTTGTCGTTCTAAAAGCAGTCGAGCAAACAGCACTTCCATTCTTACTTTTAAACCCAGCTCAAAGAAAAAAAGCATCCAGGCAATTCATATTTTCCATAGCAAATCTCTAGCCACACAGTGTACTACGGTCTTATTATTTCAACTTTTAAGGAACATTTAGGCCTTTCTGCAATCAAAAGAGACTTAGGTTAATGCTAACCCATTTCACACGAGAACAATCACACTTCACAATCAGATACTTAGATAGCGAAGAGAAACTAAGAACACCTCAAACTAGTTCATGCTATTAATCTCCAGCAGCCAAGATTCTAGTGTTTTTGTCAAAACAGTTGAAGAAAAAACAAAAATCTTTCCAACAACTCCACACGCATCATCCAGTAGGATCACAAGACATCAGTATTCTAAAAAAAGACTCATCTAATATTAGAAATGCAATATCACGGTTAAGCCAGTTTGTCTCCATGACTTACTGGGGAAAGTTACATTTACACACTGAAGCATAAGTTCTATGGTAGTTTGATGGAACGATTTGCTCGAGTTCAAAATACAAGTTTGAGCTCCACAATTTAACATCATTCAGAGAGCACAGATAGCATTAGAACAGTGTATCACCAAATCTGTAAATATAAAAAATGTTTTGAACATACAGGAGATATTTTGGTAACTGTTACAGAGAAACAGTTCTCATGGTTAAAAAAACCATCCCAAACTAAACACCTCCATTTTAAGAATTTATTTCATACGTATGTGTTCCAACAATTCAGCAATGCATCCCCCTTACTAATCAGTATTACACAGAATGGATTGGAAACGAACTCGTATGAGAATAGCTTGAGCTCATAACAAGAGACTTAAAAGCAACTGCTTTGCTTGGTCCAACAAGGACATGAAACACTCATTTTTATTTATTAAATCTTAACTATTCAATCTGTGCTGATTTTAATAAGCCCTAATTACACAGTTGGCATTTATGAGGTCATTCTGCCTGAGTGAGCAAAAGGTCATTAACTTCTGTATCAGTCAAAAAGAGAATCCAAGTGAATCCAAGAGAATCCAAGCTGAAGACTAAGCTAAAAGCTGAAGACTCACTATTGATTTCTACATTCCTTTTAAGTATCACTGCTGCTACACTACCTGGGCCAAATATCTGCTTTTATGAGGGATGTAATATAACATCTAATCAGCTCTGCTTCTAAGTATTAGTTAGCTTGGTCTAAAGCAAACTAGAAACATAAAAAAGACCAACCTGCCCTATTCCTCCACCAACGACATCCTTAGCTCCTGCTTCTGTTAGCTGCAGCCCCAAGTCCATGTTTGTAATGGCAAGCATACAGCTTTGCTATGTTGTACTTGGGAGGCAATTATGATTTATTGCACCTTAACTACAAAACACTACCTGTGTGTGCCCTCCTATGCCACTAAAGCACTTCGACCTTATTTTAGGCATTCTGTAGACAGTGATAGAATTAGAAAACTCCTTTATTTAAAGACTGATGAGACAGAAGATATCCAGTCTATCCAGTTATTCACAATATACCCATCATCATAAAATACAAAAATTAAGCCGCCCTTCCTTTCTTTCTCCTTCTTTCCCTTAGCTGAAACTGTGATGGCTTATGTATCTATGCTAATCTCTAAAAACCTTTTCTGACAAAAATTTACATTTTCTCAGATGGTTGTACTTGGCACAGCTGAACCTGGTGGTAAAAGCTGCCCAAGCTATCAGGTGTCACATTAGGCAGAGTTTTAGTTATGCTTCAACTTATCTCCACCATGCTGAGTAAGCAGGTAGTACACTGTCTCTACACATTTGGGATTTCCTCAGGCTTTTACTCCTGGTGTGATTAGTTCTATCAATATCAGGGCGACACCACGCTAAACACCACTTGCTACACTTAACATTATTTAAACAACTTACAGTTGTTTCTCCAATGGACAAATACTCAGGCTGCGAGCATTCAGTTCGATGTACAACCACCACTTTGTTGGCTTGGAAACAAGCTATTCCTTCTATGATTTTAAACTACAGATTTGCTCAGCAGCAAAGCAGATAAAAGACTTGCACATTCTTAAGGTGATGCTTTGCAGGGCACTACAAAGTTGTTAATGCAGAGACTGCTAAAAAGAGCTTGTGGGTCTCCAAAGTACAAGGAGTTCATTCACTTAAAAAAACTAAAAAGCAGCTGCTCTCTTTAAACTATCCTAAAGCAAGAGATTTATTTATCCATAGTGTGATTAAAGTAGAAATCTGATGTGCACTTTAGAAATAAAAACACAAGCAAAAAGGAACTCTTCTTTTTTTAATCTCCTATTTCACTCTGAGGGTTAACACTGTAACTGATAATGGAATATACAATTGGAAAACCATGTGCGTCTTGGTGAGGATAATGCAAAGAAATAGCCTGTGAATACTGCATGTCTCTAGTGCCTGGAAATTTGTAGCAGACTATTTCGTTTTAATATTTCATAAGGAGGTTATGTATGCTCTAGGGAGTTAGACTATTATATATTATTCTCATAAACCATCAGAAATTATCCTCAAGATTCTGCATACATTGCTTCCTCCCCCCTCTAAAAATCTCAAGACACTTCAAAGATTAAGCTTCACAATACTCTTAAGAGAAAATATTTATATTTTCCTTTCAGCATTGTGCCAGTTAAAGGTTGACTCATTCAAGGTCACAAAACCCGAAACAGATATGACAAAGGAATTCACATCTCATTTCTTAATCTTGTTTTTTTCTTCCTTTTAAGATGATCTTTGTTTAAAAATACCTTCCTAACAGTGATATAGGATTTACAGCTATGCTATGGAAATAGATTAGTTCAGTTCTGCACCAGAATCTTCCAATTTTTATTTTTCTCACAGAGCTGATGTAAGAAAAGAACATCAAAGTGATTAGAAATTGGAAAGTGAAAAAGCCAAGTAGATGAATGTGCATGAAATAGCCAGTAGTTACCAATGTTTGAGATTGTGTATGCTTTTTACTATGTTGACATTTTTGAAGAATCAAAGGGTTAAACTCCACCGGCTCCTCCTTCAATCTCCCCTAACCAATGTACACACAAAAAAAATCTAGAGGGCATAAAAGGTCACCTTAGGGAATCAGGCAGAAAACCATTCTCCAGGAGGGAGTAAAGAGAGAAAAGATATACCAGCTCCAGGTTACACAAGTATCTGGATGTTCTGAACACTAAAATATTCACCTTGTATGTATGTTGCTTTTGCTTCAACCCTTTGCTCAAATTGCTGAAGAAAAATCCCTAGCAGTGTCAGACACCTTTAGGAATGCTAAGCACAGTCAATAGAGAAAGACACTCTAACCAGCAAACCACCTCAAAGAAGAAAGCTGTGGGAAGGATCATCCTTCAACTGAAGAGGAGAGCTTAATGCCTCAGGTGCTCCTCACACAAGCAAGAGGTCAAAGACACAGCTTTCTAAAGTGGTTACAACACATCAGACAGAGTATTGTAGAAGTGATTCAATTCAGACTGTTTCTTGGAAGCTATAAATTTTTCATATTGTAACACACAGAACTAATCCCTCAAAACTCCGACAGAATTAAATGCCAAGTGGGCAATTCTGGGACAAAAGGAGAAAAGAAAACACCCACACTTCTCACTGCATATAGATTAGATACAGCAGCACAAAGAAAATACTGCATTAACATATAGTAGTCCTGACCTGAAAAAGTTACCTTTGAGGCCAGAGCAGAAATGAGTTCATGTCTATTCAGCTTCTTGTCACCGAGACTATCAAGAAAATGCTGCCAACTAACATCAAGTAACATACCATCTGCACTGTGAGCAAAAGCAATCCATTTAAAATAACAAAGAACTATCATATACTATATGTAAACAAGCCTTAATTTTTTGAACAAGCAAAAAGCTTAGCAGCTACTTTATCAAACCCTACACTTGTTGGTTGGGAATCCACATCAATTATTTATTTAACAGTACATCAAGCTTTTACAAGTGGAAAACTATTCATACAGCTGAAAACTATTCAATGGCACACATGATTAGTGTGTATCACAGTGACAATCATGAGGAGCAAGTTTTGACAGATCTAACAATTCATGTGCTGCTAGAAAGTAGCAGCTGCAGAAAGCAAAACATGCACCAGTTTCTCCCACCAAGTACGCAACATGTAATGCTCGATCTTCATGAAATCGGGAGCAATTTAATAAGAGGTTTTAGCTTTTCAACTTAACAGAATGTAACACTTTTCCCTATCCCATATCGGTTTCAGAAAGCTAAATGAGTATGCCCTGAAAAAAGTCATAAACAACAAAAAGGATAAATGGCAAAATAGCTGTCTTACTAAAAGCAAGGTTTTGTTGACCAAAACTACCATTCTTCTTCTAATTTCTTGAATCGGTAGATGCTTCTATTTACACAAAAAGGCTTGAAAACAGTTTCTGCATCCTAGAATCCATTAGTACTTCAGCTCCAAGCATTCTCCACTTCCTTCAGAGATATATTTTATGCCTTCAAGTTTATTTTCCTAGTTAATAATTATAGAGATATTATCCCAATCCTTCTGAGGCTGCAACACAGGCACAAAAATAGAAGGAAGTGCTATATTACTCACACTTAAGGGCTCTGTAGGCTCTAGGTCCTTTAACAGTGTCCAAGTTTGGGCTGATTAAAGTTATTTCTACTCCAAAATAAGATTTTAACTGCTGATATGTCTTAGGCAACTTACAGTATTTCTGGAATACACAGTAAAGCATCATAGAATCAAAAAGAATAAGGAAAATCAGTCATCAATTGATAGCTTCTCCATTGGCATATTGAGTGTATGGGGTTTACTCCCTTCCTCCCCCTCTTCCCCTCTCCTTTTTAGGGAGAAATGCAAAGGGAAGCATAGGGAGCATAAACAAAGAAATGGATATTAACAAGAGAGTAGATTAGCAAAACCATTTTGACCAGAAGCATTTTGAAAGAAAGGTTTTCCAGGAAGGGGAGTTTATGAGAAAGGGAATGTAATTAAGAAAGAAGAAAAACCCTGTTGTCTTGAGTGTTCCCCAGAGCTTTTGGGATCACACTTGATTCACTCTGCACTTCAGTTGAGTTCCTCCAGAGCAAGTTAACAAGTATAACCATCCTCTGGAGAAAACAGTATACTTTCACTCTCAATCCTCTCAATTGCTTTTCCGGGACACAGACTAAGCATCATTTTCATAGAAGCTGAGAGCCCACAGTCCGTGCTAATTTCCATGAGAATTTTCGTCTCACAGCTCAACCTCTCTCCTATTATCACACTGAATCTTAATGAAGCATAAATACTCACATAAACTGAATTACATTGAGCTGATATTGGTTGAGGAGAACTATACTTTGCTCTAAAGATTTTCAACACTTACTGAGGAGGTCCCTAAAGAACCATATATTTGAATTGCTTGTAAAGATAATAATAAATATTCGCATTTTATGTTCCTGTGTTCACAGATTAAGTGAACAAAAAATGAGTTTTAATCACAGAACACTCCAATCATCTCCATCATCTCACTTCAGAGACAAAGCTTCCTTCGAAAAATGTGTAAAATTAATGTAGTATAAACCAGATGGCTTTAAAATTTAAAAGCTACTCCTTCAGGAAATTACTTCAGAAGGACTCTTTACTAACCTCAGCTACTCTTTCCAAAAGTGGTTCCAGCCAGTGTTCGTTGCATTCACAGTGACTATCCAGGAAGGTCAGTACTTTCGCTTGTGCTGCATCTGCCCCTCTGACACGGGAGCGCATCAAGCCTGAGAAGTAAAGATAATGTGTTTAAAGTTCTTACTGAGGAAAACAATCAACAGTAGTGAGAAACTATTACATTCCAAGTTAGTCATGAATTAAATTACTCTAACTCAGACAGGAAAAACACACAAGTTCCATTATCAAAATGGAAATCTAGTCAATGACTTCACAACAAACAGCCTGCAAGCTTCTTACCTGCTGCACCCTAGTCTAAAGGTTTCAATATGATTTAAGTAGAAGAATTAAAGTATCTTTTCAAAAAAAGTGATAGAAAAGTACAGCTGGGTCTGCATTACAATAAGTGGTATTTATACTGATAAACGTTACTCACGATCGGTCCTGAAAACAAATAACTTTTCCTACAGTTCTACAATAGAACTGAGGGAAGCACCGCCTTTAACTTACCGTGTCCACCTTCTTGCCACCCCCCTGCCATCCTAGCTCTCCTCACAGTCTGTCCATTCTTCTGTCAATTTCTTCCAGAAATAACCATGCTTCACTAATCCATGTCTGAGAGTCTTCTCCCCACCCCTTTCAACTGTCTTTCCCGTGTGTTTCTTGCAGCTCTCTTGTTTTGTGGTTTGGTGGGGTTTTGGTGTCTTTTAATCTCATCTTGGAAAGATTTTTTTAGGAAGAAACTTCTGGTAAAGTCAAAAGGTTCTTTTCTACACCTTAGTTACACAGATCCCCTCACTGATTGGCCCTGTTCCTTTCCTTCCTTCTCTCTTAATATTTGTTCATCAGATGGCCTCGTCATTCCTTAAAATCCCTTGCTATATTTACACACATGCTCCAGAACACCCCACCATTTACTCCGATACAGAAAACAGCAAACTTCCTCTCATTCCTTTACAAACTTCCTCCCTATTTTTCTCTCTTACTACTCACAATTCATTGATTTCATTGTCATTCAAGACCAAAGCCAAGTAATACTTATTTTCTCCCCTCTCCTTTTTCTTTCTACATTGTTTCCCACCAAGTCTGTTCTGGTTTTGGTTGCTTCCCCCCCACCGCCAACTGAAACACTGTAAAAGAGTCAACCCCATTTCTTTCCATTCCCCTTACAAAAACAAACCTGCAAAATATGACTCTGCCAAACAGAATACAAGATGCTTAGGAGGAAAAGCTTATTTGATCTGTTCAACATTCAGCAATAAACAGCCTCATCGAGATCCTTGTACTATCTCTTACCACAAATGTGGTACTTCATTGTGGTAGATATACACTGTGCTGATGCCCTCGGACAGCACTTTCTACATCTCACCTATTGCACCTTGGCAGCTAACCATACCTCATCAGTTTTATGCTGCCTCTCTAATTCCAACTTTTGAAGCTGTTATGTTCAGTTTTTCTACATCAAACCATTCCTCAAGCACTCTGGCTATTCTTGGTTTACTTTTGCAATTCCTCCCTTCCTGAACTCGTTATTTCTAACTTACATTCTTATAGAACCTACTGTCTTGCTCTCCTTCCATAGAAAACACACAGATTAGTGTTTCTAATTTCCTTTTTTTTTTTTTTTTTTCACTAAAACTGAGTTGACTGCTTGGGTCTTTGAGTTTTCTACGCTCACATTCAACCTTACAATAGTGTTGAGGAGGTTTCCCTGAACATTTATTCACAGGCTACCATGCCCTCCAAAACACATTTGTTGCCATAACAAACTCTGGTCCTACAGACAAGACCAAAAGCTACTATCACATATTTCTGAAAGCAAGGCAGTCAATGTCATCCTGTCCACAGGCACTATTCCTTTATTTTAATTCATATTTTAAAATACACAGCTTTCCTCTGTTGTTCATACTAATGTGTTACTAACGATTTTACTGATTCTTTTAAATTTTAGTTTATATGTGTCTGAGATATCAGCATCAGCCCACACTTGAAAATGAAAAGCGAAGTAAGTATCAAACTCAAGCATAATAAGACAGTAATCAAATGAAATCTTAAAATATTTTAATTTAAAAAATCACTTTGGTTGCACATACACATGCCCAGGCAAAACTTTATAAACAGCACAGTAGATCCCACAGATAGTAATTTAACCCTAATCTCACAAAAATAACAAGGCAGTCCTGTGCCTTCAATTAGCAAATAGTCACTATTTTCTGACATAGTAAAAGATCTGTCAAATCCTATTTCGCTTTCAGATATACTGATGCATATTTTTAACTACGAATGAAAATTCAGTTCCTCCATGTATGCAGTACAAAATATTTATAATTACTAAAAAATAAAAAAATAAAAAAGTGTTACTTCATTCCATTTTTCCATTAGTGTTATCTCCATCTTCAAGTGCTGTACTGATCAGACGAATGGTATCAACTTTCTCAGAATCCTGCAACCATGGCAAGTCATAAGAGGCCTGCTTTCTTAAGAAGCCTTCATTCACAAGTATATGCCTTCAAAAAAATATTAAATACTAAGAGCCCATCAGTTTGCGATAACTAATTATGAGACAGCACAGGTTTTGTGCATGTCATTTCCATTTTCTGACAATCTAATGATTCTAGCTGCTCCTCAGGCCAGGCTGGCAGCCTAGAAGATACAGTGTCTATAAAAATAAACAAGCACGTATCTGCTAACTCAGTCAGCTATTTCAACTGTCAACTCTCAGTTATTATTTCAAACAGCTGTAGAATAGCAGTTGCCTGTATGTAATGCGTTAAGCTCCGCAGCCAGGAAGCTGCTGACTGAAGGGCTCAGTGACATGAGACCGTAATTCACAAAGCAACAAAGAGGAAAACACAAACGCAAGGCAAGTTTGTAGCACGGCACACTGGCTTCAGCCAAACTGGCATTCGTGGTCCCGACCCTCCTGGCTGCTCAAACGCCCTCAAGTCTGCCAAACAAACTGTTTGCCAGGCTGTCCATCAACCGGATCCTTAAAATAGCAAGGGAACCAGCAAAAGAGGAGAGTTACTTTTAAGCTGGATCATTTCAAACATTCATGGAGTTTACAGAGAGACCTTACGTACAACAGGAGCAGCTTAACTGAGGATTCAGTATAGCAAAAGAAAGGAGAGGTTGAGAGTGAAAGGCAATTTCTCAAGTCGGTGAAAGCCAACAACAGGCAACTGTGCACACAATTATATGGAATTCATCAGAATTACTGTTTTTACTTGCACAAATGCATTTGTTTTTATTCTTTCCACTAGTAAGTTGATTTATAAAGTGAAAATCCCCCCTCCAATATAGAATGTATAGCAGAATATTCTTTTAAAAGACTTGATGAAGATTAACAGACAAGGCAGCAGAGTGAAATTTGTATCTTCCTTCCCCTGGAGTGAGCCTACCTTCTCGGCGGTCATTTCGAAGAACCCGCACTTTTTCAATTTTTCCCAAGAGAGCACCATCCTCAGCTTTAAAAAAATAAATAATCATCATCATCATCATAATCAAGTTATGAGAACCAGTTTTATATCCAATCCTGTATACCATAAGAGACGCTGTCTTCAAAGAAAAACAAAAGCTTTGTAGTGGAAAATGTTGCTGGTCATAAATAGTTAAATATAAGACATCTGCTGAAAAAACAAACCTATTTGTCTCACCAGAAATAAGAAAAGTTACCACACTAAGAAATTACTATCCTCATTATATTATTTAAAGCTAATTTAATTTTACTTTCATGAAATATTTTTATTTAATGATATTCTCTTTGCTTACTTTAGGCAGTTTCTACATTGCATAAGAAAAAAAGAACTTTTATAGGAGTAAATAAACTTTTTTCTCTGCATATAAGAAGGTTCACTTTTTCGTCAAAATTAAGGCTTAAACCTACCTTTAACTAGCTATAAACTAACAATGCAAATGTAGACATTAACTTCCTTTAAAAAGTGTTACTCAGAGGTCCATTTCAATAGTTCAGTTGTGATATCCTATTACTTATAAAACCGTGATTATTATAGATTCAGTAAGAATTTTTCCAAGAGACTGATGGACATCAGCATCTATTTAAAGCAGTGCTACAAAAATATTTTGTGCAAGCACCACAGGTTTTATTTTTACATCAGACAACATACTACGTAAAGGCTGTTTTCAATTATATACTCTGCTCCTTCAGCTGGTAGGAACTAATAAAATATACCTGAAGCATATATCAGAACTCTTCAGATTTCCACAATGACAGATACAAAAGACTTAAGAACTGGTTCTGGATCAGTTTCCACAAACTCCTGTTCGTGTGACCTATTCTGAACCGAGTCACCTACTGGCATCTACAGAACGCCTTACCAGAATAAAATAAAGACCCTGTAAAAGTACTTACGATCATTACTGTAGTCATCCACCAGTATGATTTCCTTAATAAGATGTGATGGGCTTTTTTTAAGGACACTGAAATAGAACAAAAACCCAAAGTGTTCAATACTAAGCAGTCTTAATTTTCCATATTAATGTCATAAAAGTGGTTACTTTGTTAAGCCACAGTAGAACCCGGCCAAGGATCCTATCTTCAACAGGAGCTATTGACTTATTCTAACAGAAAGCATTTGTGAAGAGAGGCACATGTAGAATTGTTCCCCTCAAAATTCCAGCCTCCAGAAATGAGTGGATTAGACAACTTGTAACATGCAAGTCTTACAGATAGCTTTAGGTCAAATATCCCCTGAGTTTTTCTTGAAACCAGTTATACAGTCAACCTCCAAACATACTCTAGTAATCGGTTCCACAATTTCTTGCATTTGTAATCAAGGAGAATGATTTTGTTTGTTTAATGCTGCTATTTCAGAACATAAGAACTGGCAGCATCAATGAAATTAAGGCTTAGCTTTCTCTCTGCAAATGGTTCAGAAAAGCATAATTGATTGTTACTTCTCTTCTTTATAAACTATTATTCGACACTAGTGAATGCCCGGGGGGGGTGGGGAGGGGGATATAAAAAAAAAAAAAAAAAGGTCTCTCTTAGGTATACCTGACAACAGTTCGAAGCAAAGCTGATCTTGCCTCATTATGAAAGGTGATCACCACACTAGTGGCTGGCAAATCTATCCGCCATTGTTTCCGTTGACACCTGAAAGACATAATACCCTGTCATTTAAATATAATGTTTACATCCCAGGCTTAGCAGATAGCCTTCATCATGAAGCAGTTATCTATTAAAAACTCATATAGACACTATATCTACCTAGGAAGAATGAAATATCTTGTTTGCAGGTGAGATTATAATCAACTCCTCTTCTGCCACTTTTGGTAGTTGCTTTCATACAGAAGAGATGAGCAAGTCAGTGTCACGATACAGGGAAGTTCAGAAAAGTCATTGGACTATCATCACTGCAGTATGTCATAAGTACCTTCCATGCAAGCGAGTATGAAACCAGAGTGTTTATTTTACATTGAAAGCATTCAATAAATCTAAGCAAATGAGCATATTTTTGAATGAAAACACACAGGTTCACAGGCTACCATATATCTCTTCTTTAGAATGGCACATGTCCACTTCTCCTCTTATTTTTAAAGCTCCTGTGTCATCCTGGTCCTGCCCATAGATAAAAACATTTTTCTATTTTGATGAGAATTTGTATGGATTGCAACATTCAGAATCTGAAAAACAAAGTTAGCTGTGACAGCTAAACACAGAACCACATCCTTCCAAACCATAAAGATAATGAAATATTCCATCTATGTCAACTCATTTTCCATCACCTCTAATAGCCTGAAATTAATATAATAAGCGAAAAGAAGAAATTCTCAAAGTACTTCCTGCAGGACCACATAAAGTTAAGCTGTTTAAAGCCACTAATGATAAACCTGAAAAAGACACTACTCATTGTACTAGAAACTAACAGTACTAGAAAACACTGTATATCGAGTTTATGGTGAAAGCATTACAGTCTGACAGGTCACAATAGCGATGGCCATTTACGCAGTAACAAACACGAGTGATGTATTTCTTCACATATCCTTTATTTAACACTAGGGGTAGAGTTTTAACAGCCCTAGTTGTCTTCAGAGGGGATAAACTCAGCTAGCGCACATCTGTAGCAAATTCAGCAAGTAATTCTGTACTCTGTGCAGTATTAATCAAGCTAGCTTTTAAGGGAAGAGTGGTAAGTTACATTGCTACCTAAATTTCTAAAACTAGGCCTTTGCCTATATAAAAGGCCTCTCTACACCCGATTAAACATCTGCGATACACATCACAAACCACACAACCTTCAACTTCTCAGAATCAGAGAGCAAGCGGCAGCACACTTCTTGCTCTTGCCCACCCTACAAAACCCCAAGGACCTGCAGTGTTTTCGATACGACGCACCCATAATGACACACACATTAGTGCTTGCCTTGAAAAAAACCCCTCACTACTGTGCCATGGTGACCTCACTTACTCTGAAGAAAAACGAAGCCCATGCCAACCCTACAACTGCCACGTCAGATTAGCAAGGCCTTATCTAGCTTTGTTCCTCAAACAGTGCGCAGACAAAATGGTTTCGTCACTAGCGCCCAACGTTGAAGCAATAGATTGTAAATGTGTATGCATTCCTGGAAAGTAAAGGATTAAGACCTTTTCTATTGTGAACTTCCGGCAATTCATCTAGACAGCTGCAAGACATCCAGCCATTACACACCAAAGCCTATGGTGCCAAAAAAGATACTATTTCTTCTGCTAACTTTCAAATTGCCTATAGAGGACAAGCCTACTCTGCAAGTAGTTATCACATAAAGCACTTACATTAGAATAATATAAAAAGTCACATTAAACTTATGCTGATCTCCTTGCAGGAGAGAGCACTTGAGCCAGAGCACATCTTAGGGTGCAATTACTCACGGCAATGAAGCCTCTCAATTATAAGAAAACTCAAGAGAAGAGCACTATTGCATATTTCTGAGGGAGAAATTAAGATCTTTAGACTTCCAAATAAAACGGAAGGAATGTTTCACTGAGTATTTCTGCTCTCAGCTCTTCAAAACTCCTTGCTTTAACTGATTCAGTAGCAGTCCTCCTCCTTTTCTTCTATGTCGATAGCACCACAGATAAAACCCAAACCAAAGAAATCATGTCATCGCTTTTGGTAGAGAGATTAGACTTTCCTTCCTCAAGTTGCAGCACTTAATTTTACATGCAGAATGAGAAAATACATTTGGATAAAATAGAATTTGAACTGAACGCTTCAATCTAGACCTTCAATACTTAGCATAGGTCGTTAAAATCAGTTAAAACATGAAAATTACATTCTTTCCCTCAGAAATTCAAGTCACTGGACTCATTCATATCATTAACAAATTTTCTGAAACCTCTGTGGTTTGTCGACATCATTTTTTTGACAGAAATATCCACTTTAAACAGTGCACAGAGAACATTCACCTCAGATATCTGGGTATCAAAGACACAAGAAAATTGATTTTGTTTATTTAAGAACAAAACTTAAGGTCAGAAGCTTCTGATAGTTGCCAAATAAGAAATACAGTTTAGTCCCGCCAAAGTACTTACAAGTAATTCTCAAGAATCAAGCTGACACATCAGGTAAGAGATGTGATCAGAATTCACTGGTCCAAAGTAAGCATGGTGGACATTGGTCCACAAAAACCATGGAGTACTTTACCCTTCATCCCACTTGGGATACTATTTTACACCGACAGGACAGGTCTGGAAGTTTCCTATTACGACTGTGACACTCACTTTCTGGCTTTCCAACATCTACCACGACAGGGACAGCTCGCAGTTACACATCGTAAACAGATTGCAACAGAAGGAAACCCAGAGGTTTCTCAAAGCTGTTGGAAGTAGTAGTTGTGAGCATCAACTGGAGTGAGAATCTGCGTTCCAGCTCAGACCTCCTCTCTTTGCTTCCTGTCTTGTGTTGTATCTGCCTATTTCTCACGTCTCCCTTTTGTTTAAAATAAAGGCAAGCAGCTTAAACAGGAAAACCAAAGTGTTTTGTAGTACCGCTGGCAGGCTTTCACAAAAAGCAAGTAGAAAACTTTGGTCTTAACCTGCTGCTAGTAAAAGTTTGTCCGATGCAGAAAAGACTAAACAATGTAGTATTAAAAGAGATGCATAATTACATGTACGTTTACATATCTAATGTAGAATCCTGATAAACTGCTTCTAAACAGCCTAGACAATTTCAACAATTAAATAGTATTATAATATAGTTATTTTAAAGTCAAAGAGCCTCTTGGATACACCAATACAATTAATAAAAAGTTGCTTAAGTAGAAATAAGTTATTTCCTCATCCCAGTTTTTCTTAAAGAAAAAGATTGTAGCAGCTCCATGAGAGTTCTTCATCTTAACACAGTTACCTCCAATTTTATTGAAAATAACATGCTTCCAAGTGTCACGTGCTCAGATCTGTAATATATTCTTCTTCCTATGGCTATTGCTCTTGCTCTTTCCATTGGACAGTTCCCAAACAAATGGTTCACGCAACTTTTTCAGCTTCTGCAGTGAATGTCTTTGCCAAACAGAAGGAAAATTAATTGCAACGTGGCAGGGAAAGCATCAAAGGACAATTTGCAGGAATGACTGCTTCAGTTTGGGTTTTTTTGGTTGGTTGGTTTGTTTTTTTCTTTAACAAGATGACCATTTACAGACTGATGGGCACTTAAAACTGCTCCATGGCAACATAAGTAATAATCACAGCACTGACACAGCCCTTCCCAAGAAACATCTCTCTCTCTCTCTCTCAGCATTCTTTTCCAGCTCCATTTAGTGAAAAAAAAACAGGCAGGTCAGCAAATAATCACAACACTGAGAGTTAAAACAAACATAGCCACTGTAATATGATTTGTCTCCTGTCATCTCTCGTATTTAAGTTCTTCTCAAGGAGAGTATTTGTCTGTAAGAAACCTCCCAAGAGGTTCTTAAATATCTAGAAAAATTCCAAATTCAGCATATCTGAATCATAGAAACTTCTATAAGTTGGTGGCTGAGTTTTGCTCTTGTGGGAAAAGAATACCTGGTCTAAACAGTTAGAATGCATTTCTTGTGGAAAAAAGTATATGTGATGAAGAAGATTCAAAAGTAATTTTAAACTCCTCAGTACAGCATGGGCATCGTGCTTTTCACTGCTTTCATGGCAATGACTGAAACACCAGATTCTTCCTGCTTTTCCATTCAATTAATGGCAAATTATATGAGACTTGCTTGACTCTATCTACAAGTCATCCGCTTAAAGGAACCTAAAACCATGCTATTATACAAGGGATTTAAAAATTAAACAGTAAAAGTGTCTGAGTTTTTATACAAATCTCCTTTGCTATGCCATTTCTGATTAAAGAGCTTTATGGAGAAAAAACAGGCACCCTCCTTTTCTCTCTCCCTCTGACGTCTCCTTCAGCTTCTTCTACCTACAAAGCTGTAAACATACGTTTATCCTAACTGCAGAATTAGTTCAGCAAATTAACTATACAAAGTTGGCTCATTTCATGATTTGAGACTTTGCCTGCCAGTTTTTAAAGCCAAGTTCAAGCTGCTTTTGTTATTTTTAAGTTATGGAAGTTCTAATGAGCAACTGTTGTTTAATATCAATCAATTCTGCTTAAACAAGATTAGTGCAAGTCACTCAAACTCCTTTTTAAAATGAAAATCTCTCTCTACTCACAAGAAAATAATATTTTTCCTGAATTTGTACAAACAGCCTGACATAACAAAAGTTTTTAAGTGCCTGAAGTGTAATTCTGTCCTGTGTTCACTGGGGTGTGTATAAATGGATTCCTTTAGGTCTGGAGTTGAAAATCATCACATGCTTAGAAGAACAGAACAGAGTGACTGAGATCGGAAGGGGCCCCTGGAAATCTTTTAGTCCAAACTCCCTGCTCAAAGCAGGGCCAACCGCAGCAGGCTGTGCATCTGGCTTTGAATATCCCTAAGCCCAGGGACTTCACATTCGCCCTGGGCAACCTGCTCCACTGTTTGATCATCCTCACAGTGAAAGAGACTTACAAATGTAGAAACCAAGAAGAGCTATCAGATGAACAAGAACAAAAAGAGACTGAAATGCAGCACCAGTTTGGACATAGAATACACACTGATGGAAGTCATGGAAACAGAAAAAACTGAACAACATTCATTGTTCTTTAATCCACTGTTCAAGGATCATACCACTCTTCTTCATTCCTGTCATTTTGAAAGCTGGAGAGCTCCTACTTTAGAAAAAGCACATGCTGCTCAAAAGCCATAAATACAAAGAGGTTAATCCAAGTCACACATGGCTCAGTATGGCACTTACTGATCATGTCTAGTGTCAGGAATGCTTCGGTCCATTCGCAGTTTGTCACTTTCTACCTGATTGAACTTATTGCGGGCGTATGGATCCTGACCAGATCGCACCATGGTGGCGCCAACATAAGCATCTTGATCAAAGTCTTGCCACCGAACTTTTCCTACAACAGAAAAACAGGAAAACATCCAATTTAATCTTCCCAATTTAAAGAACAGCATTCAGCAATCCAAACACAACTGATGAAATAGCTTGGTTTTTAATTTTGCAACAAAGTAATTAAAACTCAACAGTATTGTTAAGTGTAACATCAACAGTCACTTTTGCACATTTAAATCCTCTAGAATATCCTGCGAATTAATATAAAATTGAACAATTTTAAAGGTTGTAGTTTACACAAGTGTTAGGATATACTAAGTTTATACCAGATCATGCTTCATCTTGTCTGTTTTGCTTGTTGTTTCTTTTAATCCCAACTGCCACGATTTCCATTTTAAGAAAAAACTCTCCACGTATCAAGAGGGCAGATGATCTGGCTATAAAGTTATCCAATAAACATTTATTTTTTAAGATCTATTCCAGACTTCAAAGACATTATAATTTAGTTTACTGTATCATTACATAAGTAAAACCCACAGTCAGTTATAATCAAATCATTTGAGGATCAGGCTTTTTAGAAGCACAAGACAGCATTATTCTCAAAAACCAGCATTTCATGGAGGCACAGTGCTAGATCACTCTCCAATATGACATAACTGCATCCTCCTTTATGGTCACAACTGATTCACAGATTAATCCCACTTTAAGGAGGACTGTGTTATTATGTGACTGGCCCTAACATGGAAAGGTAGATTAGCATCCAGCCACCAGGAACAAGATTTCAGGACTTTCACCATCTTCAAGTGTAAAACAATGGTATGACATTTACCAAACATCTTAAAACTATCAGGTTTTACCTCTGGATGAACATTGCCTATTGACAGCCAAACCTGCGCTACCTACAGCAGATTTATATCACCCTTAACATAAAAAAAAAATAATCAGAGCTCGATTTCTAATGCAATACAGACATTCTTGTTTTAACATGGATGCATATGAGAATGTTCTGCAAGTATGTTGTGGTGAACACAGTATGCTGTTGGCATTAAAAAACATACAAAGTAAAAGCTGTCTTTCAAGGTCACTGTTTATTACAGATGAGAGGTGTTAATATTCATTGTTTCCATAATTAACATACAAAGTTTCTGAGGTACTTTCAAATAAGTTCAGTAAGTAGCAGGCTGCAGAGATGTCACTCTATTCAAGCTCAGCTTTCAGACAAATATTACAGCTCAGCATATCTTAAACTAAGCTGATACACATAAAGGGAATACTACTCTAACAGCTACTAACAAGAGTCAGAGTAGTTTCTTGGATGTTTCAAGGTTTGCTTTTCCTTGGTCTCTCAACCTGCATGAAACTAAGCATGGAAACTAAGGCAAGCCTCAGTTACAGCTTTCTATCCACAAGCCATGCCCCAACTATCGTGCGTTTGCCCCTGCTAGAAGATTCTGATATTAAAAGAACACTTTCCATCATTAAACAAATTAATTGCTTTTTCTTTAACCAGACAAATACGACCAACTTGATTAAAAATTCTGTAATCTCAGGATCATCCGAGGTGCTCATCTACAAAAGCAATTTGCACCCAAGGTATGATTTGTTTATCAGATGGTAGTGGAGGTTGTAAGGCAAGATATAAAGGGGGGAATGGGGTGTGGGGGAGGCGGCGGCACGCAGCTGGTTTTGGGTTGGTTGGTTGGTTTGTTTTTAAAAAACTTCCAACCTCCAAGTAAAGTCATGGAGTAAGAGAAAAGTGCCCATACTTTTGGATTACTGGTTTAAGAGCTAGCCAGTTAACACTAAATAACTATTTTTACATCTGAATTATCATCCTAAATAAGTTAAAACATGCACACACACACAGAAGCCAGAACTAGAAAGCTGAACTAAAACAGACTGTAGAACATTTAACAGACACTTGGCGAAGCAGCCCAGAGGGAAAACTATATGAAAATAACTGGAGGGAGAAATCCATTTTTTCAATGTATTTGAGTTACTGAATGAACTCTAAAAAGGAAGCTTTCCAGCTGTTTTTGGTAGCCCACTGACTGCCAAGAGTTTTTCTTAGCCTTTCAAGTTCTTTCTTCAAAACACTTCCGGGAACTTACTTTGAAAACAAGTTTATACCTCAGCCAGCTACCACACTACAAATAACCCAATACAGAATTGTTTACAAAAATTACACCAAAGCTCACGTGCAACAAAACCATACAAAATGCAGAGTGGCTTGATTCAGGAAACTGGAAGAAACAGCAGAGATCACAAGATCACCTCCCTATAACTCCCTCCCTTAGCACTTCCCAATGCTTTTGCAACCTCCATGATAACTAAACCATACTATTACCCTTGCTTTAATTCATAATATAGCTTAAATCTAGAACATATGTTGAGTATTTTCTGAAACACAGGACATGTCATGTCACTGCTTTTCCAGTCTAAATATAAAGATTTTAGTCCATTTTACAAAATATAATCTACACTTAAAATGCATTTATATAGGACTTTCAACCTTCAAAAACTCTCAATTTCCAAGGGATTTAAATGCTATGCTTGTTTCAGGACTGCCAGCCTCAACTACTCCTCTAGTTGCCTTCAACCCAGTGGAAAGAGTAGATGAAACACAAAATGTAACGAGGGCATCACATCAGTCGTATGGGTGATGCCATCACAAGCATTCTCCTTAAACAGGTTGTGTTCTTTATGAACTACAACATGCAACATGGGCTATCCACATGGTTACAAGTGCTAATGGCTCAAGTCAACTGCTGGAAAATGAAAGGCTGATTCAAGGCTAAGTATCCTGCACTTGGGTCACAACGATCCCATGCAACACTTCAAGAAGAGTGGCTGGAAAGTTGCCCGGTGGAAAAGGACCTGAGCGTATTGGTTGACAGCCTGCTGAATATGAGCCAGCAGTGTGCCCAGGAAAGCCAGTAGCATCCTGGCTTGTATCAGAAACAGCACAGCCAGCAGGACTAGGGAAGTGATCATCTCCCTGCACTCAGCACTGGTGAGGTCACACCTTGAACACTGTGTTCAGTTTTGGGCCCTTCACTAAAACAGACATTGAGGTGCCAGAGCGTGTCCAAAGAAGGGCAACGAAGCTGGTGAAGGGTCTAGAGAACAAATCTTATGAGGAGTGGCTGAAGTAACTGAGGTTGTTTAGCCTGAAGAAAAGGAGGCTCAGGGGAGATCTTATCACCCTCTACAACTGCCTGAAAGGAGGTTGTAGCAAGGTGGATGTTGGTCTCTTCTCCCAAAAAGCAAGCAATAGGATGAGAGGAAACAGCCTCCAGTTGTGCCAGAGGAGGTTTAGATTGGATATTAGGAAAAATTTCTTCACTGAAACAGTTGTGAAGCATTGGAACAGTCTGTCCAGCGAAGTGGATGAGTCACCACCCCTGGAAGTGTTTAAAAGATGTGTAGATGTGGTGCTTAGAAACATGGTTTAGTGGTGGACTTGGCAGTGCTAGGTTAACGGTTGGGCTCTATGATCTTCAAGGTCCTTTCCAACCTAAACGATTCTATGATTCTAATTATACTGTCCAGCCTTACTTTTGCTGAAAAGGCTTGCCTTTCTGATAATTTATCAACTAAATTTGAAGTTAGAAGTGGTTTAACGAAATCTTTTTCAATAATAGTTGCTGTTGTATGCTTCCCTAGGGTACAAAAATAGGAGTAGGTTTGATTTAATTTCTTCTGGGGAGTTAGCTGGCTCTGTAGTTTCCTAAGTTTCAAGGACTTTGCCAAGTGAAATGAGTATCAGAAAACACAGTTACATTATTTCAAACTTAAATTAAGCAACTCTGTAACTTCAAATTCATGCAAATGTGTTTACTTGTACTGAGACCTAATTAATCAATTTTTCAAACTCAACAGTAAACGAACTGCAGTTTTCTACCAGAGTAAAATAGAGCCAAACAAAAAAATAAAAAAATCACTGATCCAGCTAAGAACCTGGAACCAGGGTATAGTGCAGTTCTAGACTTGGTTTTGACAAGAAGTGCTTATTTTACAGACTGTTCTGAGCCTGAGAAGCTGATTAGAAACAAGAAAAAGGTGAAATCTAGTGAAGCTGCTTCTTTTTGTCACAGGTTACTTCCCAACTCTGAAGACTTGGAGAAGGCAAATCGACAAAAATAGTGCAATTCACTGCTATTTTAAAAAAAAAAATTTGCTGGTTGATTTTAAATAGGAAGCACGTTTTGATATTTTTCCTCTGTAATAAGTAGCTGTATTTTTTTAAAGTAGTGCCAGTTTGGTACATTTTATTCCATTCTAGTTTCCATCCAAGGAGAGCTTGACATAATTATTAAAAATGTATCATTTATCATTTTCCAAGACTTTAAAACCAGCAAATGCAATACTAGTCCAGAAAGCCTAGATTAAATTTGAGAAGAAAGAAAGGAGACTGCTTCATAGGGCTAAGTTTACCAAAAAGCAGTGACAGTTCACAGAATGTAAGAACAGGTGACTTTGACTTCAGGAGCCAGGAAGGAGCCAAAGCCTGGGTCTGGCTCCAGCAGAAGGCCCTGTCAACCATGTGCAATGTGAATCAGATCTATTAGGGACAAGTCAGATAAAGTAAGAGAAGCTCAAAGTGAGATCAAAGAAAAAAGCATAGCAGATAAATCTGCACACACCCAAGCAGCAGGCAACAGAGTAGGAATAGATGGATACGAAATCCCCTAAATAGCTTACACTCCCTCTTACTGACTCAATACAGCGTAAAAGCAGTAGGATACTCGATATAAATATGATTATTTTGACTTACAGGCATTAAAGGATTCCAGATCTTCATTACTAACAAAAAGAGCTGTTTGAGTAACTGCTGAAACTCCTGTCGTTAACAGAGAACGGGTTATACTGTTTTGTTTTGGTTGTCCATGTAGATTGTTCAGGGCCAGTCTTTCTAACTACAACAGCTAACATCACTATTTTCAGAAAAGAAGAAATAGACTTTTGCAGCATATAGAAAAGGTCAAAAAATGACAAAGGATAGATACACTTTAACGTACAGAAGGTAAAAACCTAACAGTTTAATCTTTAAAGCCATTTTAAAGATAAAGATAATAAACAATTCCTTAATTCTAACAAGTTCTGAAAGATCGTAGAATGGCTTAGGTTGGAAGGGACCTTCAAGATCATCTAGTTCCAGCCCCCCACCACAGGCAGAGACACCTTCCACTACAGCAAGTTGCTCAAAGTCTCATCCAACCTGGCCTTGAACACTTCCAGGGATGAGGCAAGCTGTTCCAGTGCCTCATCACCCTCAAAGTAAAAAATTTCTTCCTTATATCTAACCAAAATCTACCCTCTTTCAGTTTAAAGCCATTGCCCCTACGGTACAAGATAGGTACTTACAAGATACTATACTACATAATGCTGAAACCTAAACTACAAGTCTCTTAACCTCAGTGGAAAGGCAAGAACGTTTTGAACCAAAGCTCTCCTAAAATTTGATCACTTTGCTTTAAAACAGTACAAAGAATCTATGGAAATTTGAAACCTTATGGCAATGAAGCTTGGAATTCGTAAGTTTGCCTACACAAATTGAAAATAATCAAAATAGTGATTTAAAAGTGCATAATTCTGTCTGTGTAGCCTTTGATGTTTGACTCAAGACTTTCATACAACTTTGCAGTAAAGATTCTCCTGACTGTTAAATCAAGCCACGAGGGATTACTGATTAACAGATGAAATGAAAAACACTCTGACCTGTTCTACTTTATACTCAATTTGACTTCTAGCTTCAACCCTTTCAGCTTCTGATATCTCTGTCTTTCAACCTGGGACATTTCCCACTTCTTTTAATACTCAAATGGCTGCTTAGGTCCACTGGGAAAGGAAGGTCTTGGAGGAAATGTGTAGGGTTTGGCCCAGAATACATAAACATTCAAAAAGAGGAAATAAGAGTAGTAGCTGAAAGGTGCAAAATTGGTGACCTATAATCCCAGCAAGAATATTTGCAGAGAATTCTGCTAAGGGAAAAAAATACATAGAAAGATCTGCCAGAAATCAAGTTAAATATGCCAGGCTTTTCAACTTTTTATGATTTATTTCCCGATTCATACACAAAGTAAAGGTTTTGCCAAAAAAACATACGTACATAACCAGAGTCTTGTTTCCTCTTTCCAGAAAGCAGCTAAGACAAGGTAGGCCAAAGGCTACAGAAAAAAGCCACGAATGTCAAACAGTTTATACTGTACCAGGAGTCTAAGACTGTAAAACAAAAATCATACCTCACACATTATTAGCGATGGAAGTTTCCAGCTGCTTAAAAGCAAGTTTAACTTGGTTAGTTCTTTCTTCAAGACCTCACAGTATTTCAGATGTTTGGGTAAGACAAATTTGTAAGCCAAATATTAGGATTAATCGAAGAAGAGTAAAACATGTTGTGAAGCCATCTGATTAGAAGTTGTCCTCCTTGTATGGTAAATTTTTTGAATACACTGTAAAATATTCAAATCCATTTTACTATTTCTGTATTCCTTGGTACATCAATTCTAGCTATATACAAAATCTCATTGATGTGAAACAGTCAAGCAGCAAACAAATTTTTATGGAAGCAGTCATATGAAATGAAAGTTCCTTCACACTTAATTTTCCTAGCTCATCCTCAAGGCATATGACCATTTTATTGCATTAAACAAAATTCATGTTGCTCTTGTTATTTGCCAGCATGTGACAAATACTGAGCAAGTATGAGAAAAATAAGATACACCATCAGTGCACTCAGGAAAAACTGCCACATCAGAAGCCAGACAAAATTTTTAAAGAATGAACTTCAGCTGAATCTTCAGTTGGAAGCACAGTCCCAAGGCAACTGGTCTGTTGCCTGCCAGCGCTATCCATCGAGAGAAATGGACTACTTTTGTAACAGCCGCTTTTATGGTAGCTCAGACCTACTGCAGGACAATACAAACGTACTCGCCAAGAGTCACATTCTCTATGGTTTTAAACCCAAAGGAGCAGTGAAGCAGGTAAGATTTAAGGAAGTCGAAGTTTTAAGAACAGAGAAGTACATATTGCTAAAATAATCCTGGCATTTCCAAACTACAAAGAACAAATCAGAACAACTGCTATGTTTTATGGCTTTCAAGGATAAATGTTTTGCGGCTACGGATCTTTCATAACAAACATTACTGCAATACCTGGAGGTAGCGTCTCCACACTTTGTGCTTTGTCCTCCCCATCACTGCCATGCACGTCTTTCCTTTTGGGGTCGATATCATTTGGGTCCTCCTGAAAAAAGTACATAATCATTAAAACAATCTCCTTAATTGATTCAAATATTGTGTTTTCAAAGCAAACAGCAATAACTAAGCTTTGTGACCACTTCATGAGTTTAAAACCCAAAGAGAGCTAACTCTGGATTTTAAGAGAAAGGATTATTATTACCTGCATTACTTGAAAAACGTAATCAACAGAACGAAATTTAAGACAGGCTTTTGCATTTAATTTATGCAGCAATTCTTACTTGGGGGAAAAAAAAAAGAATAATTTTAAAAGGAAATGTATTACAAAAAATTAAATAATATTATTGATTTTATAAAAAAGATCAGTAATACTCAAATGAGCAAGGCAGGCAAAAAGATTAAACAAAATCTGAATTAAGTCCTGCTCTATCAAGCAATAGGCCAAATAGAAAAGTTATCTGAAAAAGACAAGTCAGGTTATCTAGCAGTTATATCCACAGTAGCAGCCTTCCAATTGGAAAAAGCCTTCCAAAATATCTGCAAGTTGCTATTTTCATGTGTTCATTTCAGTGGAGCTTATCATGGGTTTCACAGGCAACTCCGCCAGATTTGTAATTCCAGTAATATTGATAATACCCATCTGGAGGCAGAAGGAAGTATTAATAAGTTTCATCTCCTTCTACTACAATTCCCAACATTGATTCTAAATCTGCAAATCTTACTTTCCTTTCAATAGAAAAAAAACACTCTTGTATGCTCATTACCAAAAAACATACAAGACGTCAAGCTCAATTGGGTCCTTATTATACTGTGCATTTGGAAGAAGTGGAGAAGAAAGTAACTTTTTGCCTGAAAAAACAGATGTAATTAGCAACTGTAGCGGATTTGCACACGACATTTAGCCAACTGAGTGAAGTGCCACCAGCTTCTGTTATTCTCACACACTTGCCAAAGAAATTCTTTTGAATTGTTGCCTTTTCTAAGTCCGCACTGAAGAAGTCTCAGTTACAATATTGGTTTTATTTGCACAGCCCCACTAAAGCCCCACCAAAGCCCCACCTTGGCTACATCATGTAAGAAGATGCAATACTGTGCCTATACTAATAAATCAAGTGTGCCTAGAAACGTTACCAGGCACTGAAGCCAAGCAGTGCAGAAGGGTTCATTCCTCTTCTAGGAATCTGCCTGAGTCTCCAGAACAGGACGATGGACTGTAAACTGTCTCTGCCATCCCAGCGCTTAAGGCACATCTGGGAATTCTTTGGTTAGAATAGCAAGCAGTTGGAACAGGCCAAACTAATGTTATGGAACATTTCAATGAAATTATATCATTTCAGTATGTCCCCAGGCACGTCTGAATTTTCCAGTGTAAATTCAGCTTAAGCATCTACATCAGGTAGGCACTAATAGCTGGAAATACGTTAAAAAAGGCTTTATAAAATACTGAAATGCAGAACTGAATACTGATGCTTTTTCATAATTGTTAATCATTTTCAGAGAACAGTCATATAAACACTAAATCAGTTAAGAATGAAATCCTACAAATGTATGGTTTTTATAGAATTGGGCATTAAGAACACCAGGGAGAGAATTTGTCGAGGTTCTTTTACTACATTCACCATATGGTCCATGCTTTGGGTTACTGGGCCTTGTGGAGAGCAATAACATTGCTTAAAGATTAAGGCAATAAGCATAAACAAGTAAGTAAAAAACCAAAGAAAAACTCTGACCACATTTCAAAAAAATTATCAAGGCTTATGCTCGTGAGGGAAAGTACCTTTCACTGTGCATTGAGTCCCACCAGCACATTGAAATAGAAACTTTCTGTAGTTCTGGAAAGTTGTATTTCACTACTTATTTGGCTTTGTGCACCATGTTAAAAACAGCAACACTATGGAAACAATAAGTGCAAGTATCAACTGTAGTTGGAAGAAAAATTTTCCCAGTAAGAATGTCAAGTTTTGCAAAATTCCACCAAGCTCTACACTGTCAAATTAATGTAATGAGTCTAAAAAAACCCAAAACTATGGAAGTTGAAAAACAAGTTAGAGACAGCCATTAAGCAACCAAAAAAAAAGAAAAACAGCAACACTATGGAAACAATAAGTGCAAGTATCAACTGTAGTTGGAAGAAAAATTTTCCCAGTAAGAATGTCAAGTTTTGCAAAATTCCACCAAGCTCTACACTGTCAAATTAATGTAATGAGTCTAAAAAAACCCAAAACTATGGAAGTTGAAAAACAAGTTAGAGACAGCCATTAAGCAACCAAAAAAAAAGAAAAAAATCACAGGGATTTCTCCTGTAGTTAAAGAATAACTACTGAGTGCT